ATACAGCCTGCATTCTGGGTTCTGAAGTGGACAATTTTATATTTGCTCATATTAAAAGACATCTGGTTTTGCTTGCACCCAGTTCACCTAGGCTACGTCTACACTGGCCACAATTTCCGAAAAAGCCATGCAAATCAGGTAAGTCAGGATAGGGAAATCCGTGGGGGATTTAAATATCCCCCGCGGATTTAAATAAACATGTCCGCCGCTTTTTTTCCGGCTTGGGGGAAAGCCGGAAAAAAAGCGTCTAGGCTGGCGCGATCCTCCGGAATAAAGCCCTTTTCCGGAGGATCTCTTATTCCTACTTTGAAGGTGCCGGCGAGAATATCGGTGATGGCGAAGGGGACGATCTTCGAGGAACCGACTTCTTTTGGGCTTTTGTAGGTACCGTCAAAGGCATGGCGCAGGGCTCCTTGACGGGAGAATTCCTGGAGACGTGATCGTCATCATCATCCAAAAGCAGTACTGGAGAGTGCTGCACCGATACTGCTGGGGAGGCTAATTGACCCTCCGGTGCCTTAGGCGGAACCGAGCTGCTGCGGTCCACTGGTGCCGCAATCCCCTTTTTAACAACTTGCGGTGCCGCCCCCGGCACCGAGGTGTGACTGCCGCTCGGCACCGCATCAGGTGCCGTGGGTATTCAGCGCGTCGGTGCCGCCTGCTCTGTCGGTGCCGCTGGTTGAATCGGTGCCGGCTGCGGTGCCGTAGTATGCTTCCGCACCATCGGTACCGACGTTTTAGGTTCAGACAGACTGATAGGTTGCCGCCCTTGAGTTATCGGCGCCGATTGTTGCCTGGTAGGCTTGGTGGCAGTGGACGGTGCCGGCACTGAAGATGACCGTCCCACCGACTTACTCCTGTCCGGTTTTTGTTTCGTAGGTTTATAACCCATTCCAGAGGTACCTGGCTGGTCACTCTCACTGATTTTAGATCAAGGGACCGCGGCCAGAGATTGCGCCGGGGAGACTCTTTTAGCTCTCTTTTGAGTCGACCCGCTCTGCGGTGGAGACGTCCTCTTGCAAGTCTTAGAGGAATCTCCTTGAGGCGTTTCAGAAGGCTGTAGAGCCTTATCAAATAGAATAAGCTTCAGCCTCATGTCTCTGTACCTACGTGCCCTGGCCGTTAGTTTGGAACAATGGGCACATTTGCTCGGCACATGGGACTCCCCCAAGCAGCGTATGCATGCGTCGTGGCCGTCGGACGCTGGCATGGGGTCTTTGCATAGCGAACATTTCTTAAACCCCGGTGAACCGGGCATTTTGAATTTTCTGTCTCTAAAGATAAAGAAAACTAGAAAGAACAGTAGGCTTAACTAGCTATGTCCAACTTTAAGAACATTTTTTTTTAACAAATAACTAAGTAACTAACTAACTGTAACTATAAACTGAGGAAAACTCATGACAATTTTTAACTTTTCTATCGGAAGGAGCTGTCTCTGAGGAGAGAGTCCGATCTCCGTCAGCAACCTAGGACGGTTGAAAGGAACTGGCGGAGGGGCCGGACCGCGTGACTGAAGAAACCACGCGAAGACTGCCGCGCATGCGTGGTCCGGCCGACTACGGCTACGAAAAGCCTCCGATCAGCGGTGCCGGGACGAGCCCGACACCTAGAGTGGAGCACCCACGGGGACCACTCGAAGAAGAACCCTACCTTCTGCAGCAGCAGTGCACCGGGCCAGGACTCACTGTGCAGGGGCAGTGCCCCAGTGAGTCCCTGACCTGCTTCTCACAGCACTCACAGGGGCATGACAGGGCTTACCTGAGCACACCACACCAGCATCTTCTCCATGGTGACAGTTGATATTCTTGCCCCACGGCCGAGCCCAGCATTCAGAGAGGGCAGCTTCTGTCCCCGTGCAGTTAACATCACCCAGCCAGATTGGACCGTGTCCTAGTCCAAAGTGAGCCTTGCCTGGGGCTGATACCGCCGTCCCGCAGCCCATCTGCCGGCACACAACCCCGGCATCGGTTATATTCCAGCCGTCATCACACACGGTTCCCCACTGCTTGTCGTGCAGCACCTCGACTCTCCCAGCGCAGCGACTTGAGCCGTTCGACGCCCTGTGTGGAAGGGCTGAGTCTGCAAACACCCAAGGAAACAGTCAAGAGAGATTCCTGTGCATCTTATCACTAGCAACGCTGGGGAATGCAGAGCCTCCCACTGGCAGGTGTCAACAGCCAGCCACAACGGACCGTCCAGGGCTCGCTCCCCACCACAGACTTGCTACCACCTCTGGGGTGGAACAGGGCAGCGGAGAGACAGGCTATGGAAAGCTTGTCCAGGAGCAGGTCAGGGACCCTCTCCACTGTTGCTCACTGTGACCCCGCCCCCAGCTACGGCACTGCGGGTGCTCTGTGGCCTCTGAGTTCTAGTCCGACTCACCTGGGGCCTGTTTTAATGAGAGGGGAGGTTTGGCTGCTTAAAGCTGCGATTCTCAACCACCATGTCAGGGTGCCAGGCCACGAACCGCTGGCCAGGGCCGGATTAAGGAGTGGGCTAGCCGAGCAGCTGCCCAGGGTGCCAACCTACGGGGGGCGCTCGGCTCCCGGTGGGCTGCAGCAGCCACCCAGGGTGGGAGCTGTGTTAACCCTCGCAGCACTGACCAGCAGTGGCCTTCCCCCTGCGGCCACAGGGCCCTGCACGGCCAGGCGCAGCCCACCCCAGGCAGCCCCAGGCTGCACACCATCGGCGGTGGCCGGGCCGACTGGGCAGCGCATGCGCCGTGTGCCTGGAGGCGGGGCCCTGCACCCCGGGAGCGTCACTGCGCGCCTGGGTCCCGAGGCGCCACA